TTAATTTCCGCACACTTTGAAGCCGTTTTATTAGCTCGAACGGCGCATAAATCACACGAAGTGCGCGCAACAGAGCCAAAAGTCGTTTGTCATTTTTAACAATCAATTAAAAGCAAATGTTGCATAAATACATGAAAACTTTACCAATGCTGGCGCTTCAACCAATTACAAATTGTAAACGAACTCGGTTTGCCATTTATCATCGTTAGATGCAGAGCGAAAGAGATAAAATAGATGGCGAGAGAGAGAGAGAGAGAGAGAGAGAGAGAGAGAGAGAGAGAGAAGAGAGCGCACGCTAGACAGACAAATTCGACTAATAAAAATCAAGTTGGACTGCTCCGAATGGCTGTCGTTAAAGTCCTAAATGCACTTGTGCCAGAGCCAGTGCAGCACGGCCAGCAGCTCCGTCTTCAGAGAGTGTCGCTCTCATATCCGCTGAGTGGGTTTGTCATTCAGCGGCGAGGACTGCATTTTATTCTCAACAGCTTTGCTCGTAAAATGTTGCCTATACTCGGTAAACATTAAGAATTGAGTGCGCACTGGATATTGCCTTATTTTATTACGAGATGTCCCGTGTCTGCTCGCAAGTGTCTTCAGCAGAAAAGAGTTTAGTAAATATGGAGAGAAACTATGCAACTATTTCATTTTTTTTCTGAATACCTGGTATGTAAAAATAAATTGAAATCAATTAATTACAAATGTGGGCATATCAGGTATTAGGATAGCTGATCGAACTTGTTTCATTCTTCTTAAGCTATGATCAGATAGAGCCAATGCGAGTAAAGCGCATTATATTATTAAAATATGCTAATGGAAGCAAAACGGAAGCATAGCTATTTAAACGTAAATCTTCAGGCTCTATACATATACGAATATTAGATTTAAATATTAGCAGATAAATAAAGTTTTTTATTTTCATAAAAATTTTATATTGAATAAGAATTAACATAATTATTTTGAAACTAAAAAAAAAATTAATAAATAAATAAAAAAAAAAAAAAAAAACAGAAAGCTAATATTATTGTATAGCGAAATGATTCATTATATGTATTAACTAATTTTTCCCTATTCAATTTTTGATAGCTCTATTCAAGGAATAATAATATACATATATTATATATATAAACATTAAAAATAAGTAATAATTATAAATATATAAAGATTAGCAACTACTAGTAACTTTTTATCATAATAATGTAGTAAATTAAATTAATAAATTATTATTTAAAAAAATGCATCTGTAGTGCAATTAATAATTATATATTTTTTATATATTTACATATATTTGTTCCTTATATAAATTAAATTTGTTTATGGAGTAAACGTAATTTTTAATTATTTAATGACACAACAAATAATACATTTTCATATATATGTCCTTAAAAATATCTAACCTTTTGATTTTTATACTCATTCACGAAAGTGAATCAGTATATTGGTTTTGTGCAATGTCCGTCTTGCTGTCCGTCCGTCTGTCCGTCTGTCCGTCTGTCCGTCCGTCCGTCTGTCCGTCTGTCCGTCTGTCCGTATGAACGCAATCTATTTCGGCGCTATTGAAGCTAGAGACTTGAAATTTGGAACACATACTCGTGTATATCTCCGATTTATAAAGTGTTAAAATTTTCCCGATCCGCCCACTAGGGGCGTGGCAAATCGGAAAATGCATTTTCCGATATACCAGAAATCATGTTTGTTGAAGAGCTAGAAAGCTGAAATTCGGTATGTAGGTCCGCGTTGACCACCCAAGATCACAAGCTATGGCGGATATATCTACGCCCATTGGGGGCGTGGCAAATCGGATAAAACTGTATCTCCTAAAGTTGTTAACCTAGAATGCTGAAATTTTGCACGTCAGCTAATGTTATGATTCTATAAAGTTTGAAGATAAATTATAAGTCTACGCCCATTGGGGGCGTGGCAAATCGGACCTGAAGATATAGTGATTTTTTAAATTCTCCTATATTTTGGACACTATTGATGGCAGAGACCTCAAATTTTGTATATATACTCGGACTGATCACCCAAGACCAAAAAGTTTTGTCGGATATATGTCCGCCCACAGGGGGCGTGGCAAACCGCAAAAGTTTATATCTCCTAAAGTATAATAGCTAAAAGCTTCAAATTTGGATAGTTGAGTTACTGGTAGCCTCCTCTATCGATTCTCCAAAAATAATTTTTACGCCTCTTTAGGGGCGTGACATATCGAAAAATACCCTGTAATTTTCACATTTTTTGAGGGTAATCATTCAAACTTTGCAGTTAGGGTACTGTTATCTCTTTCTAAAAACTGACCAAAAATGAGGTGTCTACGCCCAGTTGGGGCGTGGCAAATCGGAAAAACCTGTATATTCTACAGTATTAGAGCAAAACTTAACTACTAAATTGTTGACGGGATGTGAATGAGTATTCCGCAGTCGGTAACGCCCGACTGCAACGTTCTTACTTGTTTGTACTTTAATTAGAAATGAATTGTGAGATTTACAAAGGTTCTTGCCCAATCTCTGGCATTTACCCATTGCCATATGAGATAGAGAAGACTCTAGCTTTCCAAATGGCATGCAGCTTCAGCTTCAGTTCAGTTTACGCATACATATATACATGTACATATATGCATGTACATATATGTTCATATGTATATGTACATACTGCAATTCTTTTTCACTTTCCGTGTGAGTGGGGCTAGGTCATAAAATCTAAATAAAATTCGTTAGGCAATGCATTTAAAATTTTTGTTGTTTGTAAAACAATTTAAAAGTTTTCTATTTATTATTTTCTTTATTGTATTGTACTTATTTATTTTTATTTTATTTGAATAAATACTCATCTGTGTTTGCTACGAAGGATAGAGAAAAAAGTTGAATTCAACTTTTGGCTCGTTTAATTGCCGCTTGATTGATGACCCTTGGGGCGGCTGCCAGACAACAATTAAAACAACAACAACAACAACAACAACAACAACAGCAACAACAAGAACAGCAGTGAGCAGACGCAGCAGGAGCCTAAACAGCGTTTTAATTTATAATTTATGTAGCGAATTTTGATTAATTGATTTCCATTTGCCGTGTTAGAGTCTACTTTGGTCGTGTTCGGGTTTGGGTTTGGGATTGGGATTGGGTTTGGGTTATCTGCCCATGGGCGGGTGTATTCAGCTCTGTGGCTTTGCCGTTTGACATGTGGGCAAAATTAATTTGATGCCGCTACCTGCTGCTCCTTGAGCCGTAATGTACAGGTATTCACAGTGTGCCAAATATTTGCATCTATCCAATCTCTTTGCCAGTGTGTATCTCTCTGTGTGTGTGTGTGTGTACGTGTGTGTGTGTGTTTAGCTTACCTTTTGGCATATCTTCACATCTACACAGCTGCGCCGTCAAAATTTACAAGTCATCGACGTTGCGGTCAAAATTTGCATAATTTGCTTTCCATGTAGGCCCAGTCATAAATGATTGTCTATGATCTGGCCCGGGCTCGGCTGGCAGAGTGGGCGGCTGGGTGTGACTGCTGAGTGTCCACCTGCAGGCTGCCTTCACTATCATTATGCGCCGCTGTTTAGTTGAGTTCCTGGCTGTTTGCACTGCTTAAGCGAAAATGGTGTTAAGTGCTTTCGCATACAAAATTTACATGGCTGACAATTTTTGAACGATGTATCGACAACGTTGTTGCCGTTGCCGTTGCCGTTGTCGTTCTACTTGTTCTCATTGTTGTCGTTGCTGTCGTGGTTGACTGTTGTTGGCTGTTGTGGTCGTGTCGCCCGGCTTGACTTCCGTTTCCGTGTGTTTGTGCACGCGCCCTGTCAATATTTGGCATTTGCTACAAGGCACACGACACACCCAATGAGCGTTGCGGCGCTGCCACGCCCCGCTGTTTGCCGCCGCCCACTGCTGCGAAAATGTTTGGCTACCTCCAATTGCAGCGTTCTGCTGATGCTGCCCGCCCCGCCCCCTTCAAAACTGTTTGCCTTCCGGCAGCGGCAGCTGGTCAATGAACCCCATGCAACAAAATGTTGCAAGGTGCAAAATGAATTTCTTTGAGTGGGGATTCCGTTTTTGTTTTAAATACATTTTATTAAATTTAATTTATTAACTATGTTTTATTTTATAAATGTTAAACTTAATGCTAAATACACGTTCGTCAGTTAAATATTTTACATGCAGTTGCTTACGATTTAAGTATGTTAATTAATTAGTTAATTCTCAGTTATTGTTAGTGAGTGTGTTTTTTTTTTTTTTTTTTTTTTTTTTAATTTCATTTATTTATGAGTTAGAGTTGAGTGTTAAATGTTTTCGTTTTTGATACCAAGATTGGCTTCTTCTTCTTCTTCTTTTTTTGTGTTTTTTGGTTTTCTCTTATTTCCCTTTTACGTATAAAATGCAAACGTTGCGTTGCTAAATTGAATGAATTTCTGTTAAGTTAACCATTTATTATTAAGTTCACTTAAATGTAACTTGCTTTTAAATTCTTTATGCCTCCTCCTCCTCCTTCTCCTCCTGCCTGACGTTTGACGAGTATGTAAACAAATTGTCATTAATTACATTTGCTGCTATGCTAAATGGGCCTTAAAACTAGATGAATTTGATTTATATATGTGTTGCTTGTATGTGTGTGTGTGTGTGTGTGTGTGTGTAATGTGTATTTGTGTCTTAAGAACAAGCTAAATTTATTTATTTTCATTTCATTTCATTTCCGGGCAGCTCTTCGCTTACTCTTCAACATAAATTAACAACAATCATGAATTCATTTAACTTTAGCTAAAAGTTGTCTAGATTTTGGCGCTTAAAGCTGTTGTTTAAAAATATATTAACAATTCAGTGTTCACATCGTACATCTAAGTTGATTTTAATGTATATATTTATATATTTATTTCGAGCTCTAAGGTTTAGTATTCGATTTATACACGGGCGCTTAAGTCTAATGGATTCATTTTCATTTTCTTTTCCTTTTTTTTTTTTTTTTTTTTTTTTTTTAGATTTTTCTTTTTCTCTGTGAGTTTTCATTTTTAAATATTTCTTAACATTTTACATGCATATTTATTGTTATAATTTTTTGTTTGTTATTTTACATTATTTGGCGCATTTTCGTCGTCGTCTTCCTTTGATGCATTAAAAAGTGCTACCCAATCGCTCAGTATTCAATGTCAACCTCCACGCTAAATGCTTTGCTGGCAGCTTGAATTCAGTTTTCTATCTCAATTCATCCAGCGCACATCACATAACTTATAGTCAATTTCATCTTTTACTAACTTCTCGCCCAGGTTCGATTCGATTCGATTTGATTTGATTTGATTTGTTGTCGGCTTAGATCATCGACTGCTGCTCGGCTATCAGCACTCAGCGTCAAAATCGTGTACCCGTGCCATGATTGCGATCCTGGCTAATGAGCATCTCGTCGCCGTTCAGCTGGTGGTGCAGCTCCTCCGGCACGGTCTTCAAGTGCTGCGGCTTGGCCTGTAGGTGGAGCGTAAATGAAGAGTGAAACCGTTATTAATATGCAGCTCGGCATTTCATTGGCAATAACAATTTTCCATTTCATGATTAAATAATATCGGGGAAATCAACATTTCATAGCCGGCTATTTGGTATTATGTTTGTGTTTGTGCAATGACTAATCCATAGATTACCATTGCGTCAAAGGCAAACAAAGAGCAATAAAAATAAAAGAGGAAAACAGAAAGCAGAAAGAATCCAGCCACGGCCGAAAACACCCAAATACTCACACACACACACACACACACATACAAATACACGTTAAGAGCGATGCTTTAAAATTAACGAGGCGCGCATTATTTGAGTACCCGCAGCTATTACGAATTCACATTTACCCCCCGCCCCGCCCTCCGGCCGACTGCCAGTAAAGTGCCTGGCGCGCTTGGCTAACTGGGCGTATGCGTGTTATTTGGTTTCGTTCAGTGTACCGCTGCGCTAAATCTAACCATTTGCTGGTCGCCAGCTCCCCAGGCAACACCGCAACAGTCACATGCAGAGCGCCAGAGCCAGAGCCAGAGCCAGAGCCAGAGCCAGAGCCAGAGCCAGAGCCAGAGCCAGAGCCAGTCCAGCCGTTCCAGTCCAAGCCCCATGTCCTGGCTGTCGTACTGGATTTGGTGCTGTTGTTTCGGTTGGCTTTTGCGCGCTTCGCTGCCTTTTGCCTTGCATTTTTCAAAAACTCTCGGGACCCATACAGACAGAGAGAGAGAGAGAGAGAGAGCACAACAACTCACTCAGCGCTCAAGGAATGGAAAAAAATGTACATTGTAAATTCCGTTGCTGTTGTTGTCCTTTTTTTTTTTTGCGGGCCATAATAATTGCAATCATTAGAGTCAAAAGTTGCCACACCGCAGTGTCCTTTGGCGTGAAACAGTTGCAAAAAAAAGGATGAGAAGAGAAGAGAGGAGAGGAGGACAGCTGAGAGCGAAATATATACGAAGTTCATGTGCTGTGAATTGCAGCAAGCAGCCGGGACAATGCAATGGCGGCTATGCCTGCGCCTGCAGCGCTCGCCAGGACGAACGCAATGCGCGTCGCCAAGTGTACATATAATGGCATATTTATAGAGCAAATGACATAGACAATAAGAATGACAGAGAGAAAGAAAGAGAGAGAGAGACAGAGAATGGGATAGCACATTATTCTCTTTTTGCACTACTTTTACTGCGGCTGTCATTTTTATGCACGCTCTGAGGTCATTTACCGCTTTGAACTTTTGCCGTTGAATTCGGGTTTAAAATTTAAGCAGCCAGGGATCAAGAGGTCCGCCAAAAGCAAAACGGAGAAAAAATAGTTCAAGTTGTCAAGCTGAAACTTGGCAGGCGAAAAAAAAAAATTTTTTTTTTTTGGAATGGTTAAACTTGTTTTTAAGTTTTTAAAATAAAGTCACCTTCCAATCATATGGGAACAATATGGAGCAGAATGAACGACTATCTGGGGCTTTTGCTGCAGGAAAACTGCATCAGCATGTGCTTAAGGAAACTCATACTTAACTAATACAAGTTTTGCTAAGTTTAGTGAAAAGTTTAAAGGAATAGCCAAACTTGGGATACGAAAGAGCTGATAAATGATATTATAGGAGCTTATTTGTAAATATGCTTTTCTTTAATTTATGGTTCAATGGATCCATCTGGCAGCTCTATATCTTTGGACACAGACGGTTATGGGAGAGATATTATATGCAGAAAGGGCTGTCAACAAATCTATTTGAACCAAATAAAATGATTATCATCATCAACATTTCAAATACGATTTTCTGTCGAGGGTAGTTAGATGGCAGCGTCGCATATGTAAAGCCCTGTTGATATTTTATAAAATAAAATAGGCCTGATCTATAAAGTTAAACAACAAATCTATCTTTATATGGTATATCTAACTCATCATATCGTAATATTATAATACAACAATTCATATTTCATTCAGAAACATATCAGTTTAATAAAAGAAAGCTTCCCAGAAACGGACTCTAAACCAGATTATAAGCCGTATATGGAAATATTGTTAACATAAAAGAGCACAAGTAAATTCATGCTAAAGTAGCCTAATTAACAAACAACCCATTTGGTTGTTCATCTTGTGGCTGTTTTGTTTATCTTCTTGAGCTCTGCACGCAGGTTGGCTGGGTGGCTGATGGCTCGTGGCTCGTCGGGTCGGTGGGCTGGTGGGTTGGTGGGTTGGTGGGTTGGTGGGTCGGCGCATATTACTTAGCAATCCCTTGAGCAGTTATCAGACCAACCGCAAAAATCCATTTTCTGCCCCAGTGGCTTCAATTTATGAAAGGGAACAAAAGATTTTCGGGGCATGGCGACCGGGTGTGCCCAAGATAAATGTTTACTCCAACCATCTACACGCCCCCAGCCGCAGCTCACCAGCCTCACCCAAAGCGAAAAAAAAAGAGAAAACTCACTTTGCATATTGATGCTTTCAACGTTTTGGACATTAAGCGACTTCTTCAACTGGCTGCTATCAACAAGCAGCCAGAAGTCGCTGCCCAGTAGCTGCCCAGCCGGGACTAGAAGTACATCAAACAGACACTTACCACATCGCTGCCATAAAGGCTCATGCCGACGCCGACGCCGACTCCGACGCCAACGATGCTTCCGTTTCCGCCAGCGCCGTTGGCCGCTGCCTGCTGCTGCTGCTGCTGCTGGAGCTGCTGATGCTGCTGAACGACGGGCCCATTGCCGGGCGCGGCTGTCGAGGATGTGGCCACCAGTCCCATGCACGTCACCGGCTGCAGCAGCCCATCTCCCGTGGCTACCACGCTGTGCGCAAATATGGGCGGCGGCGGCGTGGGCGAGAAGGTGGCCAATTGTGATGGATGCGACATGGTGACACCGGTGATGGTGCTGTTCGTTCCAAACATGGGACTCGTTGAGTACATGGGGTGATGTGCCAGATCGATCTATATATATGTGTGCGCGCGTGTGAACGGCCATAGAGAAATGACAACAAACAAGAGTGTGAGGGAGAGAGAGAGAGAGAGAGAGAGAGAGAGAGATGTGGAAAATGTAATGATTTATATGCAACAATTTCAGCGCGAGCTCGTGGTTTTGTATTTGTTTTGTGATAGAGCGCAGCTGCTTACTATTCGCTCTGCTGTTTTACGTCGCAAGTTAGATGGATGGGCACTACATTATAATATAGCAAATATATAAAACAACTGAAACTTGTTTGTGTTGCAGAAATAATTTAAAATGTTTATTCTATGAACCAAAAATGTATTTCACATAATTTTAGTAATTATTTTAAATCAAAGATATAATTTATTATTAATTATAAGGGGTAACTCAATTAAACCATAATAAAAAATTATTTCTAATATTTCGCTAGGCAAGGAAGATTCAATTAAAATTAATTATTTTCAAAAAATATATATGCTTTTACTTAAATTGGAATTTTGTAATTAAAAAACAACTCACTGTCGTTTGCCTTGATTTTATTTTGAATATATATTATATTCTTTAATAAGTTATATGGTTTATACGTATAATCTCAATAGACATTTACATAAAAAAAATACCTCAAATAAATATTATATTATATTAAAAATATAAATATTAGTTTTATAATCATATATCTGTTTCTTTTGCTTTCATTTTATTTTATTATATATAATTTTTTAATTAAGTATTCATTTTGTTTTAATTATTATATAAATGAAATTAAGAATAAAAACTAATAATTTAAATAACAAATTTAATACATAATTTTTATTAAACTAATAATAAATATATCATTAAAAAAAAAATATATAACATTTAATATTATATTAAAATTAAATATGTAACTGTGAGTAAATTATTTATATTAATCATAAAGATATAATATTTTTAATTGATTAACTTTTTTCTTTCAAAAATATATTTTATTTCATATTAAATAATTTAATATTGCAAAATTGTATTTAATGTGAAGCTTATGGAATAATTTTAAACAATTTTTTTAAATTATGATTATTATAAATAATTTATGAATTTATATATTTTTTAAATTGTTGGAGCAGCCCTCGTTGGCTATTTTGGCTAGCTTACACACTCAAATTAACACGTGCATGTATGCGTGTTCTCTGCCTATTTATATGCATAGGAATACGAGAGGCTGGCGGTGCTTTGTGTACCTAGGTGTGGCTGCCTCTTACCACAGAGAGTGGTAGTTGATGCGGAGGGAGGTGGAGGCACCGCATTTGCAAGCATTTGGCTCTTGTGTTTTGCTATTGTGATTGTTGTTGATGTTGGTATTTGTTATTGTTGTTTCTAGTTAATAATGCTGCGCTTGGCGTTTATTTAGCCAAAACGCGCGCTGCGCCCCGCCCACCTACTGGATCCTCCTCAAGGCGAAATTACGCGCGTGTTAGTGTTAGTGTGTTAGTGTGAGTGTTAGTTGGCCAAATGTTTGTGCGTGGCATATTAACGCTTATCCACGTGCGAATGTGTTGGTGCTCGTGCACCAAAGTGTGGTCAAAATTTATGCACTCGACGTGCTTCTAATGAAACTAATTTCAGCGCAAAATAAATTCTCATTGCTTGGCATAGATCATGGTCACAGCAAAAGATTGCGTGGAGTAAAGAAATAATAGCTGCAGATAAAATTCATTTAATTGTTTCTGCTGAAAGCAGAGTATTCCTTTTATATATCAAATATGCGATAGTTCTGCCTGAAACAGTCGAGGCTAAGCTATAACTCATTGCAATAATTTAAAGGCCAAGTCAAAGAAATTGCCGTTTAAATAGTTTATGCCAATAAAAATATATTTCATAAACAAGATTAGAAACTGCATTAGGACCGGGCAAAGTTTGTGTTTCTAATTGCATTCATGCATAACATCACACACACACACACATACACAAACGCAACTAAAGAATTAAAATGCAATTGGGCTGCCATAAATATTGCTTTGGTTCAATATGAAAGTCAAAAGCTGATTAAATTATTTGTTTTTGTCAACACTCTGCCAACTAGTCGAAGCCCCAATGGACCCAAACACCCATTGTAAAACTCTGCCGCAAAGCGCAGTTGGAAAACTTTTAAAACAAATACCAATTACAACAACAACAACAACAGCGATGAGAGCAAGAGGAAGAGCGGCTGTTGCTGAAGCTGAACAAAGTACATACATATATAATCGAATTAAAATAATTGCCATGAAAATAAAACAAAGAACTAAAATCAACGGCAAACATTTTGCCTGCTGGCCAGTGTGTATGGCTGACGAGAAGGAGAGGGGAGAGTGTGTGAGTGAGTGGGAGTGAGAGAGAGAGTGCTGTGTGCTGTGTACAACTTTTCGATAAATGACAATAAAGCCATACAATGTCATTAGGTGAATGGTTTGGCCTCGACTGCTCCCTTGCTGCTGCCATTCAATGTGCTTGCCCGCTCCAGTTCCTCCACTTCTTGGTGTTGTTGTTGTTGTTGTTGTTTACCATAAAAGTTGTTTGCAAATGCTTGCACACCGACAGACAAACTGCAGCTTAAGTGCATTTTAAGAGCAGACCAAAAACATCCATTCGCCAACAACTACGAATGCCAGAGCGAACACAGAACATGCACATAACTCAAGTCATTACAATAATTGTTGAAATCAAAGCCAGCCGTTGGACAAAGAAGCAAAGCTGGCAGCAGCAGGAGCAGCAGCAGGTGCAGCAGGAGCTGCATAAGCCTGCACTGCAAACTGACATGGAACTGGAACTGCAGCAGTCCAGGTGGAAGGACTCCCGCACACTGACCTCAAAGCAACACAGAAAATTCTGTGTTTCCAGTGAAATCGGTCGGAATTCTGGATTTGCTCTTGAAAGTGTTTTCAGCTAACGTGCAGCAGATTTTAGATTTGCTGCTTCATAACTCAGGCTGAGCAAATCATTTTTAGATTCAACTAAATAATTTCTATCTAATTATAGTTCATTTATCTCGAGTTGCTTGGATATTCGTAAGTGTATTTCAATGTTCTTTAACTGGATTTATTTGCGTATTACGTATACGTCCCGTTGGATGGCAAATGCATATGCAGTGCGAACAGCAGCAATAGTGCTTGATTCAGTTTCGCACTCACTCACACACACACACACACAGAGAGATGTTATCAAATCATATTGCAGCTGCATCAAATTGTCTTCAATACATTCTGTTAGTGCTACTCTGCGTATGCGTAATGCTGAGCTCATTGCTTCCTTTTCCTCTGCTGCCGCTGCTGTTGCTACTTTTTTTCCCCCTTTTTGCTGTCAATGGAAGACAAATATTTGTGTGCAATGCATTGCATAGTTTTCGGAGCCAGCTGTCAGTTTATTGATTTGCCAGCTGTGCAGGGGATGTCTGAATGCGTTGGCTGTAATTGATTTTGGCTCAGCTCTGGAGAGAAGTAATTAAAAATCTTGTGGCAGCTTGTAATGAGTTATGTGTGGCAAGCTGAGGCAGCCATAAATAAAGGGCAGCACATCACGTAGATGCCATAGCAAAAACCAAGGAGAGAAGAAGAAAAATCAAACCAAATGTTTTCGAATTTATTAAAGCATAAATCATAGCACAACAACAATATTAAATTAACAATGCAATTCAACTAAACATCACTACGAGCCGAGCAAAGGAATACAAATAAAATTACAAATAAAACATTTTAAGCTCCCTTCAGACACGCGTCGCATAGCCCTGCATGTAGAGCCCGCCAGTCCCGCCCACATTATCGACCACAGCGCCAGCCACGTAGCTGCTGCCCGACGCCGTGGCCGCCTGCAAGTCCGCCAATATTTCATCATCCATCATAACATTTACCTGCGAGTAGATGTTCGGCTCGGCTCGCTTCAGGTCCGTCTGCCTCGGCCGTCCCAAGGTGGCGCTGCAATAGGGCGTCAGGCGCTGGACGCCGCCAACGCCAACGGCATTGCCCACCAGTGGGGCACCAGCCAGCTCGCTATAGCTGAGCTCAGTCTGCAAGAGGTAGAGAGAAAAAGAGAGAGAGAGTGAGAGAGAGAGAGAGAGAGAGTAAGAGTGAGTGAGTGGAAACTTTCAATATGCTGAGTCAATCACTTTCAATTTGCCCGCCAGTTGCATAATTGTCGAGTGTGAAGTTTGGCCACAGCGAGGCTAAGCAAGACCTGAGCTCTGTTCAAGCGTGGAGCGTAAAGCCCCAGAGGCTCGTGAGCTGTTCAAAGTGTAATTTGATTAAAATCAACTATATTTATACATTTTATCAATTGAGCTCTCTTAGGGCTCTCACAAAGCGCAGGGGTATTCAAAGGCGTTTGATTAGCTGTTTTTTTAAATAATTGACTTCAAGACTTGATGATAAGATTATAACATCTTATAAAATATTTTATATAAATTTGAAGTTATGTGAAAGCAGCCGAGATAGGAAGTGGATTAAATAGTGGGTGTGATAGTATAATTCATAAATAGTCTTAGGAATGAATATTCATAATGAATGAATACAAAAATATTATGTTTTATATTTAATAGGACACCGAAAAACAAATTTGATTATATTATCGGTTATGTATTTAAATTAAATGTATAAGAAATTATTAGAGTCTATTTACTGGCTAATTCTATTTCTCATAATTTATAACAAATTAGTAAAGCTCATATTATAGAATAATTCCGTTCACCAGCTATTTCTAATAATATAATGAAAATAATAATAATAATAAGAATAGTAATTATTAGGTTTACAATTTTGCTCTATGACTGGATAATTCTTTACACTGTCTAGCTCCACTTCACAACTCTCATTTCACGCCTTCAGCCAGAAATTTGAAATTGCTTAAATTGCCGTCAATCAATCAGTGCCTACGAATCAACAAGGCGCATTGTTTCACAAATTACATTTGAGCAAGCGAAATCTGTCTTAAAACTTGCAAAAATAATTTCTGAGCTCTGCTCTTCACACCTTAACCAGTTTTGTGTTGGATAGGGGGCAGGGCAGGGAGCAGGGCAGGGGCAGGGCAGGGGCAGGGCGCTTTGGGTTTTATGTCTTGCTATGTCTACGGAACATAGCCAGCCACGCCCACTGCCACTGCCCTGGCGAAATGCTCACATGAAACGCCTGTTTGTAATGTGTCTGGTCTGTGTCCTGCCCTCGCCCCTTCACCTCCCGCCCAACCCCAGCAGCCATCAGCCACTTTCAGTTAGCAGCTGCAGCCACGAGCTGAGCACGGCGCACACTTGCCGTTTATTGCATTTTGAGTTTGCAGGCAACAGAAGCAACAACAAAAACACACACACACACACAGACTCACACATACACATGCACAGTTAGACAGAAAGTGCGCGCATCCTCTGCCAGCTTTGCTCCTTAGCGCTGCTTTTGCTCGTCTGGACGCTTGTCCGCCTGCAACTTATTTTTATTAAATTCGCAAATGGGAAATTTATATTGCTACAGCTACAGCTGCTGCTGAGGCTCCTCCTTGCCGGGCATGTCCTTGTTGTTGCCAGTGGGCGTGGCAGACACACACCCAAACACATACACAGGGGCGAATTTCTACTTAAATGATTTTCAAATTATGTTGGTTTTGCTGCAGCAACTGCGGCTGCTGCCACGCCCCCATTGCTCGTTGTTTTCTATTTATCTGCGCGACCTTCACCGATTTTGTCTGCTGAGTGTTTTGTGCGAATTTTAGCTTGCATTCTCGCCAAACGATAAAATATATACAAGTGTGTGTATTTATAAATATATAAATATATATATGTATATATGTGTTAGTATTGCTGTTGCTTGTTGTAGGTGTTGTCCATGAAATTGTGTAGCTGGCGCCAAAGATTTTTTAGGAATTTCGTTTGTTGGTTTTTCAAATTATGTGCGATTATTTTCAGTGTTGGCTGCCTCTAACCAGGTGGCCACAGGTCAAGGCAGGCTGACATAATTAATTTAATTCTGCAAATAGGCTAAGGAATTTCGGTATAGAATTTCAGTTTGCCTGGCTACCTGACTGATTGATTAGCACAAAGAAAATTAAGTATTTGGATGGGTTTTGACTTGAATGGAATGTGGAAAATGAGTGGGAGCTTAGGCTATAATGGCTTACTCTAAATTAATTTTATTTTATAGACTGAGGAAGGTTTAGTCGAGCATATTAAGTATATATTTATAATCTATTCAGCTAGCTGAATCAAGCATCTTCAGCTTAGAAACAAGAAATGCAAAGGAATTCAACTCAAGTCTTAGAGATCAAATGCAGAACAATATCATAAAATTATTAATATATTCAAAATCTACATAACTAATTGAATATGATATATACATAATAATAGACTTGAGTATATATATAGCATATGACAAATGCCATTGACTTGTATATATGCATTATTATAGTGTATATAGAATAAGCTCAGCATTTTTAGATATTTGTCAACATGTATATGTACATCAGACAGAACATTAACTAGAGAATAATAAATATCTTGGAATATATATTTTTATAATGCGATCTTAAAATTTATAGATATCTGCGATAGTTTTATACAGTAAAATATTCTTATAGCTCATGTGCAGAGCATGAGTTGGCCATATAAGAAATGGTCGTGCAATAAATATTCTTATAGTTCATATGTAAAACGAGCTCAACGTTTATAGAGATATCTACCCTCATTTTATATAGTCGTATATTCTTCTAGCTCTTATACAGCGCCAACTCAACATTTATCGATATAATTTTATCGATTTATTTTGATTGCATTTTCAATCGGATTGACAGCAGAGTAAGCACTCTTAGACACACTTCTGGCTTAAAAATATTTTTAATTTTTTTTTTTCAAGGGAAATACAAGAAAATGAGGGAAGATTTCTTTCATCTCGAATTTATTGATGGCTATTCAGCAACTATTTGCTGTCTGGGCCGCTGTGTCTGTCGATCCGTTTCTCTGGCAACAACAAGGCGGCCATCAATTGCGGCTTAAATAATAAACTGCTTGCTGGCCATAAAAACCACTTAACCCGAAATATGCGAAAAGTAAGAACGGCCACAGCGCGCAGCAAGTGGCTGGAGGGCTGGCTCGCTTGGCCAGGTGGCAGGTGGCAGGTGGATACATCTGTGGCCAGCCTTGGTCACCCTGGCCAACGGCTGGCCACCCTGGCTATAAATTAAGATGGCTGCCAACGCGGCCATATTGTAAAAGGTTAAATGTTTGACTGTCGGCTAAGTGCGGATTAGGGCTCAGCCGGGCATAACTCACCTTCTGTTGGTGCTGCTGCTGCTGCTGCTGTTGTTGCTGCTGCTGCTGCTGCTGCTGTTGCTGCTGCTGCTGATTGGCATAAGCGCCCATTTTGCCAACGGGTATAAGCGTATTATATTGTATGTACTGGCCGTGGGCTGTGGGCGGGCCAGTCTTTTTGTCGACCACGGCATACGTGGGCATGATGTGATCGTAGGTTGTGGAGGTTATCACGGCGTTCTGCTCGGCCAATGCGGCCGTGGCATAGGCACGATTGTGGCCCTTTGTTGTCCACTCGTCGTCCACGTCGTGGCCATCTGCAAAGGAGTCGGAGAGTTCGAATCAGAGCTATGTAGCTATGTCCCGGACTGGCCACAGAGCTGGCAAGCTGAATGCTAGAGGAAGTGCCCACCTTGCGGTATTATGTCCGGATTCTTATCAATGCTGTCCAGGCTGCTCGTCACGTGGCACGTCTCCCGGCCGATGCGATGCATATCCTGCACTGATTGGCCACCATTGTGCGCCAGTGTGCCGATGCCCAGGCTGCCATTGTTGTTGCTGCCGAGAATGCCGAGGTTGCCGTTGCCGTTGGCGGTGCTGCTGCTGCCCCCGTTGCCCGGATGCGAGTAATTATTGCGATCGCGTCCCGACGAGCCGCGAACCCGCACCACCACCACGATGATGAGTGCCACCAGAAATAAACTGCCCACAATGCCGGCCAGTATGCCAAGGAATGGCCGGATGTCCTCGATGAGGGGCCCATTGGCCAGCGATAGGTCTGCGTGTCGTGGACAGCAGTCGGTGGGGGTGTGGGTGTGTGTGTGTGGGGCAGCATAGGTCGGGCAGCATTTGGAGCAGAGAAAACAGAAAACGGAGAGAAAAAAAAATGGAAAAGAGAAAATTCGCAGGATAAGCGCGTGCTACAATAATTTTACGAGAATGCATTGCATATTTTTCTGCCTGTCTTTATTCTCGCATATTTTTTGTTATCCTTCTCACTCGACCGCTCTCTCTCTCTCTCTCTCTCTCTCTCCCTGCCTACCCCCGTTTTTACTGCTGTTTTCTTCTTTGCATTGTTTTATGAGCTGCTAACTACGTTCCGTTGTCGGCCCCGGCTCCGGCCTCCGGCCCCAGCCCCGGTCCCGGTCTCTGGACCCGTACTCATTGTTGTTGTTTTGGTTGTCGGTCCCCAGTTCCTGCTGCACGTGCTTGGAATTTAGTGCCGCTTTAATGAGCTGCATGTGTGTGTTAGTGTGTGTGTGTGTGTGTCCAGTACGTGTGTGGTCCGTTGTAAGCCGCTCAGTGTTAAGGTTGCTAATTTTTGTCTCAGCCGGCGGCGGCATGTCGAGCATTTTTAGTAGCCAAAGCCAAAGCCAAAACCCAAAGCCAAAGCCAAAACCCAAAAACCCGAAAACCCAAAGTCTGAAACAGTTGTTCAAAAATGCGTCCGGATTTATCGTGCGAACTTCGTTAGTCACATTTCAAGAGAAACTTATTCAAATCGTATGCAAAGTAAGACATCAAATTGAAAAACTCAAACAATACGAAATGGAAAATCAAATTTAATGCAATTTATTGAAATCAAATTGATAAACAACAAAACGAAAAACAAATTAAATGCTAAACAAAATCTTGAAAAATAAAAAGAATAAAATAGACAACAAAATTATATGGGAAAAAAATATAAGAAATGTAGCAAAAATATTTAAACAAAAATTACAAACACTTAAAATAAATTATATAAAAACTCAAAAGTTAAAATTAATAATTCGTGATGCATTTTTAATAAACAAAATATTTTTTGATAACAAGTGTCAAAACAAATTAAGAAATTAATAAAAATTCTAGAAAGTCAAAAGCAAAAGAAATTATATTAAAAATTATAATAAAATGTGCTCAAGCAAAACATCAAATTGTGTGTGTGCGTGTGCGTGTGTGTGCGAGCGCATTGTAAAGGTCTAAATGATGATCTTAAGCTCAAAGTAGCCACTACCTTCATCGTACGCCCCTTTGCCCACGCCCATAAACTCATCCTCGTCGCATATGCAATCGCTTGTGGTTGCCTTTGATGTGCTGTGTGTTGCTGTAGCTGTTGTTTTTGTTGTTGTTGTTGCTGTCGGTTGACTGCCATGGGCAGGCTTAAAAGCTTGATAGGATCTGGTAAATGTTATTTGAACTGAAAGCATGCAACCAGAGTGTAAGAAAGAAATGTTAGAGAAAGCAAAGAACTTAAAGCAAATTAAAAGACAAATCAAACCGTCTGGCTCACAGTCAGTCAATGCATGAGTGAGTGAGTGTCAGGAGTAACTGTAACTGTAAATGTAACTCTGTAGTTGTAGCTGTAGCATCGGCAATTAATTTGTAGGCAACGATTGCCGGCTGCCCAGGACATATCAGGACATGCATGAAATTGCAAACCCATTCGCCCAACCATCTCGCCCCGCGTCAACCACCAGACCACTCAGTGGGAACTCCATGCATGTTCCTTGACTCACCCGTTTGCTTCTCCGGATCCTTCAGCGTGTAGACCTGCAATATAGTCGCATTGCTGCGCCCCTTGCTGTTGTGCGCTATAAGGAAGACATTGTAGCCCATGCCCGGCTGCAGGCCGCTCACCTCGAAGTAGGGCTTCCTGTAATGCGCGTCAAATCGATATTTGAATGTTCCAGGCAGCAGCCGCACCAAAAAAGAACGAGAGACGATAAATGAACAGTGCCTGGCAAGTATGCGGATTGCGTCCTGTGTCTATGCGTTGCACATGCCTCGTTGAGTCATGTTGTGTAATGCAAAAGTCACAAGGCGTGTGATTTAGACTCACTCCCTCCCTCTCTCTCTTTCTCTCTCTTTCTTCTTCTCTCTTCTGTTACTCACTTTGATTTGTAAATTTTGGGATAGCGCGTCGTTCCGTTCATGTAAACCTCCATGATAAAGTCCTGCGGCAGGCCACCATCGAAGCCCTCAACGCACTCGATTTGAAAGCCGGACGATGTCTGATTGAGCAGCGTGCAGTTCAACAATGGATCCGGTTCGCCTGTTCGAGCAGACAATTTATTTTTAGATTTCTTCGTATTGTTATTCAGTGCTTAGCTTAGCACTGATGCAACAAATTGCCAAAGTTGCACGTGATTGACGCAACTGCAATTGCAACGGCAACTGCTACACTAGACTACATAAATTGTGACTTTAGAATCAATAAGCCACAGTGTAGCAGCAGCAGCAGCAGCAGCAGCAGTCGAGGCAAGCAGCGCCAAAGCCATCAACAAATCGGCACAGTGGGACACCTGCGACCCGAACTAAGCACAAACAAAAACACAGACAAACACAACAATTGGAGTGGGCCACAAAGTGGCAGAGCGAGCGTCAGCTATGAACCTTCGCATACTCTGCCATGCCAGGTAAATTCTAGTACGAATCTATTGAAGTGCGACTTTGAAGCCACAAACGTAATTATGGAAATGAAAGCGAATGCTCATTAGTACGTCCAGAGTGAGGACTGAAGCTGGTGACATAATTCATAGTTCATTTGAAGGTTTTTCATATTTGAAGTATGCTCTGTGTCTACCTGTGCAGTGGAATGCTCATTTTATGAGAAATGCCAACGTTTACTTATAAATAGACATTTGACTTAAAGACCAACAATCAGGCATATAGAATAAACAGAAATATACAGAAAATTATTCTGATAACAAACTTTGCTGGTTTAATTAAGTGAGAAGGAAAAAAAAAATATTTCTATTTACTCATGTTGAATTTTTTTGGTATCTATTTCAGTATTGAATATTGCTCAAATATATTTTATTTGCTATAAATAATGAACACAATTATCGTTTATTTAATTTAGAATTCAATGAATTAATATAAAAAATAAAAGAATGAATAATAACTTGAATTAAGATAATATTTATTGAAGTGGATTATAAAATATTATTATTATTTTTTCATTTTATTTGCTTTATGTTCTTATTTTTGTTATTATTTATTTTACTTGCTTAATATATTCAACTTTGTTCTATTTATTTATTTATTTTTTTAAGTTTTCTGTTTATTTTTTTATTTTTAATTTTATTTTTTATTTTATATTAATTATTTTGTGCTTTACTATATTATTTTTATTTTTATTTTGTGTTAATTATTTTATTGCCCTACTCAATTTATTTTATTATATTGTATTATATTATTTCATTTGAAATTATTATATTTTTTTTATAGGATTTTGTATCATTTATGTAGTATTTGTATGAATTCTATTTGAGCAGTTTACCACTTGAATTGAGCAAAAATATAGAATAGAATTTTACTTTTTTGTCAGTTATGAAAAAATTAATTGCTTTCATTTTGTTTATCCATTTGATTTCAAAGAATTTTATTTTCAATTTCTATTTATTTATTTATTTTTCATTTTATTTAAAAGACCTTTCAAAAATAAAATATAGATTTATGCATGTAAACCAAAGAACAAATGCCAACAAATTGTAACAAATGCCAACTACTAATATAAATCATAAACAAGCCACATTCTAGCTCCATAACAGTTGAAACTGAAAAATAGAAATCGAATGCCGAAATAGTCGCATAACCTGAGCTACCCTAAACGCTACAGTTTGGTAAGCGAGCCGCTGTGCGGAAATGAGAGCAACGGGACAAACACGTGGACGGCACGCAGGTGGCCCGGGCACGTCGGTTGGCTTCTTTCCGTGTATGCTCTGGGCTGTTACTCACCTGCTGGCACTATTGTGTACACGCAGGGCTCGCTTTGATCGCCAATTTCGTTGCTGGCCCAGCACAGGAGTGTGCCGTAGTCCTGTGAATGCCCAAATAAAAGAGTCGACAGTTAGTAGTGTATGCATGTGTGTGTGTGAGTGTGTGGAGCCTGGCATGAGTGACAATGGAATGGTATTTCACGGGCTTAATTTATGCATGCAATGCGGCGTTGGCGACACACCTTTTCGGCCTTAATTGAAAATTCAAAACCGCAATTCGTTTGGAAAATTATGTGACGCCCAGCCGAGGAGCTGAGCTGAGGCGGCCATGCAGTGATTTATGTGACCCCAGTGGGAGTGAGTGAGAGGGGCGTACTTACGTTCTCCACCATGGGCGTGTAGTGGGCCACACTGCGGCCGCGGTCGACGGCCACCAGCGATGCGGGTATATCAGCTGTCTCGCCCTGCGTTGCATTGAATTTCCAGACGTATGTTGCCTCCGCGGGATTCGCATCGATTTCGCATGCAACTTTAACGGTCTCATGGCGGCCCGAACTGTACGTGGTGCGCTGTCCGGCACGGCAAACGGGCGCAACTGAAATGGAGTTGAAAGTTGGAGTTGGAGTCGGAGTTGGAGCAGCTTCAGTACGTGTCTGTGCAAATTGGCAACGGCATTTGCATAATTAAAGCAAAACATTGCGAAACTTGAGTTCAATTTGTGTGCTCAAATGGCCAACGACCGAGCACTGTGCAACAAAAGGCGCTCGTTTGCAACGTTCTGCTTAATTTGCTGTGCGGCAACTGAAACTGACAGCAGGCAACTGGCAGCAGGCACTGGCAGCAGCACTGGCAACTTTTTAAAAAACTCTTAGCAGCCATAGTATCTAAGCAGCTCTCGCTTGAAGTCTTTTCGGGCATTGCAAATTCACAAATTTAATCAATTTCGATCTTGTTATTTAATATTTATTAGACAATTGTGCTGCCTGGGCTTTCATTGGCATACGAACGACAGCTGCTGAATGTGTGAGCGTCTGTCCGTGGTGTCCGTTTCTATGTCTGTCTCTCTGTCTGCTGCAACATGTTGCATGTTAATTTGGCTGAGCAGAGCTAATGAAAGCAGCTGCCATGTCTGAGCCTGTCTCAGCATTTGTTTACAAATTGCAGCTATTGAAATATGCATTTAGCCGAATACGTTTCTCTATTGGCATTGTCAGGATATTTAGATAGACTCCTCGACTACTCACAGCGAATGTCCAGCTGAACGGGATTGCTCTCGCCGTCGCCCTCGCGGTTGCTGCCAACGCAGGTGTAGATGCCCGTTCTGGCCCGGCTCGCGTTCTGCAGCACTAGACTTTGATTGGCCACGACGATGCCCTCGGCGGGATTATTCTCCAGTATGGCGCCCTGCAACGAAATCGAGGAGGCAAATAAATACAAGTTGACGTTCAATTCCACAATTTATTGGGTTAAATTCAATTTGACGATAACGGCGCATTGAAATAAATTTAATTTGAGGCTAATAACACTTTCATGTTGGCTGGCGTAGATGGCCCGCGGCACCATGACGGGCGGCCCTCGATGTAGCCATGTTGACTAGGTGGGCGTGGCTGCATAATTTACGGCCCTGCCAGCATAAATTGTTAAGTGCTTTTGCAGCTAAATAATTCAATAATAAATTGTATAAATTCCTATATACCATGTGCGTGAGTGTGTGCATGTGTGTGTGTGTGTGCATGTGTGTGTGTAGATTTTTTCTCGGCGCCCAGCCAGCCCTAAAATATGCAACAATTATGTGGCGCTGGAGTGTGGGCGCCGTTTTTCGATTTGTTGTGTAGCCTCAAGGTAATTTATGTATAGTGAATAATGAAAATAATAACGCACAATAAACGACTTCAATTTTTCGCTGCTCGGGCGCTACGCTTCGCTGCTGCATGTGTGCTTAAGCTGGCCCTGGGGCCAAATGCTTAGCATAGCCAAAGCATTAATATTGACGTTGTATTGAATTAGCCATATTGATGGTATATCTAGATATGCATGTTAAACATATACATATATAAATGTGTATGTACATATGTATGCGTAATTACATGCAACATTTTATGAACAGCAGCTGTGCTCGTGTGAATGCTTTAAGAATCTTGCTGATTTATTATTTATTTGCAGTTGAAAGCTAATTGGCTTTAGTTCGAATACTTTGCACAACTGCAGCTAGCAATTATTTAATTTGGAGTAAATATTTATATATATAATACTAGAGCAATGAACAGTTTCTTGATATTTTAAAAGTATTTTGTAAATAAAATTGATTTGTCATAATACTTTTAAAGGAAATTTATTTATTTAGTATTTTAAATTTTTGCTCACTTTTTTTTTAAGGAATTTGTAAGTACTTGTATTTCTTCATTATAATTTTTCAAATTTTTACTATGTTTTTATTTGAGAAATTTAAGTTGTCAAAATTGTACTATATTTTTATTTGAGAAATTTAATTTGTCCAAATTTTACTATATTTTTACTTGAGAAATTTAACAATTAAAAATAAAATAAATAGAAGAAACATGCAAGAAAAAATCATGCATATATCGTATATTTATTTTATTTTTAATTAATTTATTTTTATTTGAAGCCATTTTATGTATTCACTTATTTTTGTTTATTTAATAAATGTATTCTTTTAATTTTTATGTCTGGGTTTTATTATAAGCTTTTATTTCGTATTTTTAAATTTATTTTCTCATTTATATTTACTTAAAAATCTTTTTTTTTTTATTTTATTACTTTAATTTTATTATATTTTTAATTTTGTATTTTATTTATTCATTCTTGTTTTATTATTTCTTTATTCTTGTGTTTAACTTTATTATTTTATTTTATTTACTTTAAGTTCCCATTCGCATTTACTTAATTAATTTATTGTTTAAATTATTTTATTTATTTTATTCTATTTGTATAAAAAGTAAGCCTATATCCCAGCAATCACTAATTGTATTATCTTTATTTTCAGCTTAATTTATACTCACATTATGTCGCCAGCTGACTTTGTAGATCCACGGATTCGACTTGATGTTGCACTCGAAGAAGACATCGACGCCCTCTCGCAGCGTTGCATTCAGCGAGTTCGTGCCCAGCTCCAGGCTGACAACGGGTATATCTACAAGGGCACAAAAATTGGAAGCTTAGTGGATTAGCCCATTGCGCATAAGACATGCAAGAAACCACTTAAAACGATTCGCTGTCAGGGCAACTAAGCGCAAATTACTTAAGCGCCGCGCCACGCCACGCCCACCAGCTGCAAGCAGCGAGCAGCGAGCAGCGAGGCGAACGAGTAAATCATAAAAAGCGTAAAACAAATAAAATACGGCGTAGCACACAAAGGTGTAATTATTTTGTAAGCCTCACAAATTAGGCAATTTAAGTTGTGAAAACTCGTTGCCCCGCCCCCTCCCCAGTGTGCTTGTGCCTCTGCTTGTTGGCAATTAGTCTGGGACCAGGGCGAGGATTTTGTATCTTGTCTATGGAAAGCGGCGAGTGTGGAGCCCAAATGGACAGCGAAGATTTGTTTTATGGGCTAGCTGGCTGGGCGGGCCTAAACAAGTAAAATCTGAACTTAATTAAATCAAAACTGGGCTGCGGAATGCGCGAATCAATTAAGCTTATTAAGCAATCTATCAAATTGTGCAAACAAGAACAGAGTCAGACCAGCTCAGCCCATCCCAGACCAAAGGGTTGCTCAATGGACCGCAGCTTTCAATATAATGTGAGGCGCATCATAAAAAAAATAAGCAAATTTATATATATATTTTTGAAAGGTAAGCAACCAAAGCGCACAGCAAAGGCAAACAGGAAACGGAAGCGGTGCAGTGGCTGTGGTGGTGCTGGTGGTGGTGGTGAGGTGGATTGCCATTTAAATTTTGTGCAAACAGGTCGAAAAACTGTAAAAGCGTAAAGATGGCTTCGCAGTCGGCGTCGCTGCTTGCGGTGTTTGCGGCGGGTTAAAAAGTTTCGCAAGTTTGGCGCAAAGTTTTGCCGGCCGCCGCTGGAAATTAATTTGCCAAACTTGCCACAAGTTGGCACACAAAAAGCGGCAAGAAAATAACCCAAGAACCAACAGCAGCCGAAAAAAAAAAATAAAATAAAAATATATATATAAAATTATAGCCTGTGCCTTTTACAGCATTTTCGGGTGGAAGTATTTAAAGCCAATATCGGCAGAGGTGGCGGCTCTGTGCTGCTTTCCTTTTCATTAAAAGTTGCGGCAAACACATTAAATATTAAGTATACGCCGCCTGCGCTGCGGCATTAGCATTTAAAAGCCTCACCCAGAGTGACTTTGATGTTGGCTAATAAGCAATCCAACAAGCCAACAAGCTGAAAAGAAATGTAAACGAAACGAAACGCAACGAAAGGAAACGAAATGAAACTTACGATAGATGTCCAATTTCCAGCCATCCTCCATGCCCGACTCAGGTATCATGCTCTGCTCAGCGCGGCAGGACAGAAACTTGCCGCGATCGTCGATGGTGGGCGTGAATGTCAGCACCGATGTGGTCATATTACCATCAGGATTGGCCTGCAAAGTCAACGAAATAGCAAAACAGTATTAATGGTCCTTCCACTCCCCCTCTCCCACTCTGTGTGTGTGTGTGTGTGTGTGTGTGTGCTGTCAAGCGAGACAAAGGAGCAGCAGCAGCAGCAGCAGTCGAGGAAGGACAACCCCTCAGCGACGTGCTACGGACAGTTGTTGAGACCAGTCCCTGGTTTTAATTGAAGGCAGCTACGTGACTGCCGTTAAAGTAACTTCAATTACCACAAAGCATGTCCCCAAAAAGAGGGTTGACTTGCGGGCCGACAACAACCCCCAGCTTGGAAATTTGAATGTACGCACCCTATCCACAGCTGTGATGGGGCATGCATAATAGTTGAGCTAAGATGTTTCACTTGGGCTGCGCTCATGCTTGAAAATGCTGCCCCTAATATCGGGACTTACTCAATTTATATTGAAGCTCCACTAAGTCTAAAATATTTCCGTTAAATTTAACTTTTGTTTTTGAATTTATTCATTTATCTATTTATTTTATTCAACTTCTGATTTTTGTTATAGTAAGAAAATGTTGAATTATATTGATTTCTATTTACTCTATACAGTTTATGTTTTCTAATAAGTATTTGTGTATATAATAAAAATATCTTTATATATAAAAACATATTTTGCAGCTACACTAAAAATGAGGTTCAACTTTTAATAAAAATTTTTGTCTAATATTTTTAAATTTTTGTTTAATATAAAATTTTTAATAGATTTAATTTTTTGTTCATTTAAAAAAATATAAAGCAAAGCTAATTTAATATATATATATATATACTTTTTTTGTATATATTTATTTTTATTTTTTTATACCCTGAACCCATTGAAAATGGGAAATCAGGGTATAATGGTTTTGTGAAAAGTATGTAACAGGCAGAAGGAATCATCGCAGACCCCATAAAGTATATATATTCTTGATCAGGACGACGAGCTGAGTCGATATAGCCCTGTCCGTCTGTCCGTCCGTCCGTCCGTCCGTCCCTCCGTCCGTATGAGCAAAAGGATCTCAGAAGTTATAAGAGCTAGAGAGCTGAAATTTGGCATGCATACTCGTGTATATCATAGGCAGTACGAGTTTGCTTTATTTTTTCGATAACTCATCCGATAACTTTTTTATCGAGAATAATCGAAAAATCGACATTGTTTTTTCAGCCTAATTTGAACACTTTTCAACCAGGAGACTTCAAATTTGCGTTGTATATAGAGTTAATGGATACAAAGATTTTGTAATTTACAGATTTTGAATACCACGCCCCCTTCGCCCCCAATTTGTAAAAAACGAATTTCAAGTACTAGAGACTTGTGCTTTGGAATGTACACACATTTTAACTATATGAACACATTTTGAAAGTTTCATTAAGATCGTATGTCTACAAAAGAAATTATTCAACAAATAAATTCTCATAATATTGCCCACATTGCAGCGCAGCCCAAGCGCAGTCGCTGCTAACTGCGCAGTTAGCAGAGCCCGTGCTTATAAGTGCATGTGTATGTATGTGTGCATAGAAGAAGTGCAGAATGATTAGAATATCAGCTTGGAGGGTTCAGGGTATCTCCCAGTCGAGCAGTCTCGACTGGAGCCTTCTTACTTGTTTAATATTATTATTATTATTTTTTTTTTTTTTTTTTTTACCAAAATGATATTTTATTTATAGAAAATCTAGATTTTTTGCAGCAAAACGTAGACTTTTTTAATTAGTTTAAATATGCAATTGAAATCATTTTTATTTTTTAAGCTTAGTGTTGCAAACCTAAGATTTTTTTTACTTTTTTTTTTTTAAATAAATAAATAGTAGATAAATAATTAAAAAATTCCTGCATTATTAAATGATATCTTTAGATTTTCTTCTTCTTTTTGAAATGTAATTCAAATGATGACAACTTGTTAATTAACTTGTTTATACAAATATTCGTGGAAACTTATTAAAGGAGCTGCTGCTCTGTTGCGCTGCTACTCATATTCTCTAATTGTCTCTATAATTCCACCTCTTCTCACCCATAATACAATTTGCAAGATGCTTTCATATTCTACGCTCTCAATTCCGTTACTTAATGCTTGAGATTTCACAGTTTCTATGAACAGCGTAAAGTGTTCTCGCACATGAAGTTTTAGCGTGAAGTGGGGGAAGCTCTTAATACTCTTGCGTTCGAGTTGAACTCGCTGCCAATTATAGGTGCTTGTGTAGTCGCCTAGCTGTAGCTTTAGTCAGTTTTCAGTACAGTTGGCGGGTCTCAAGGGGTTACAGAGCGCTGCTGCGCTTGGGTACTTACGATTTCGTGCGTATTCTTCATGGGTGTGCTGCCCTTCCACCAGGTAATCGTTGGCGCTGGACGTGAGCCGATGACTACGCAGCTGAGCTGATAAGAGTTCTCCGCCGAAAGCGGACGATTCTCACCCTGCAGCTTGACAATCAGGGGACGCACTGCAGCGCCAGATAAGAAGAAAAAATTAATTAATTAGCGAGTGAGGGAGGGGATGGGGATGGGGTTGTGTTTGGGGGTGTGACGCAACAAACTCACAGTTCATGTCGAGGACGATGCTGCTGATAATTGGCGTTGTCAAATTATTGTTCTCCGCCCGGCACGTCAGCTGCATGTGAAGATTCTTGCGCTTCAGCTTGGCCAGCGATAGCACATTGCCCACACGTCGCTCCGACAGCGGATGGCCCAGGCCGGAGCTATTGAACATTGTGTTGCCGTGCCACCAGGTAACCCTCGGTTGTGGTCGACCTGCATCAAAGCAGAATAGAAGAGAATTATTGAGTGCAGTTGTATGTGTGTGTGTGTGTGTGTGAGGCGGGTATAAAAGAAGCGGGTCATACGTAGAGCAAGGGCAGACATCTGCTGGTTTTCTGTGCATGTGTGTGTGTGTGTGTGTGTGTGTGTGTGTGCAACTGATATGTTTGTTATACGGCTTCGGCTTGAGCTGGCCCCATAGCTGCCTGTGCCCTGTCGCCTCCTGCTTAGTTGCTCGCAGCGATTTGGCTGCTGTCTTTGACTGTTTGTTTATGTGCTCACAAGAGCAAGAAGTGCCCCCTATGCAAGCGAATATGTGTGTGTATGTGTGTGTATGTGTGTGTGTGTGTGCGAGTGTGCACAAGTGCCTTTCGCTATTTCATTTGTTGTCTTGTTTGGCTTTTAGCAATTTTCAAGTGCTCTCAATGCAATTTGTGTGGGCATTGTTGATGTTCCTTGTGTGCATGTGTGTCTGTCTGTGTGTGTGTGTGTATGCGTGTTGGCCGCTGGCTCGTACAGCCGACAGCATTTCAGCAAATGTGAAATTAAATAAAATGCGAAATCTTTGCCAGCATTTTCATGCTCATCAGTTTTAATTGTCAGACACAAAAAGCAGCGTCAACACTTGGCAATATACTCATACGCCTCCTCCTACTCCTTCGCCTCTTCATACTCTGCCGAGCTGTGGCACGTGTGGCTGTTACTTACCGCCAATGGCCACGCACGTGACGTTCACACTGGAGCCCTCATTGTAGGGCCCCAGCGTATGATCCTTGATGGTGGCTCCCTTGCTGTCCAGTATGATGATGGACTCCGGTGGTGCTGTTACAAGTAGAGAGATGATAGTTTAGTTCAAGCTAGACTTTTCGGTAATTGAATGTGTTGAATGGATTAGCAGCAGCAGCAGCAATAACAATTTAAAGACTGACATTTTTTGTTTCCTATTTGATTTCTACTTGAATTTTCACTAATTTCTTTACGTTTTCTATATTACTTTTCAGGTTATCGAAGCATGGAGAGCATCTCGACTGGCTAAGCCGTTCAACAGCAACTGCTGTCCAAATATTAAAGAGCTGCACTCTCGACAGGCTGCCAGGTTTAGTCCGGCATACGAGCAGAAGCAGGAGCAGCAGCGGCAGCAGGAGCAGCAGCAGGCGCCGCTTGCAGTTTGCAGGTTGCAAAGTTCAACTCAAAGTCAGCACTTTCTATTTTATTTTATTTTCGCATTTTTTCTGACCACGAGTAGGGCTGCTCGATGGCTTTACGATGCTCTCTGGGCCCGGTCCAAGTCATGCTGTGTGAAATATCTGGCCGTAAATTTTCGCCAACGTGTTGAGTAAACTTTTAATTTTCGCAAATTCGCTTGTTTTATTTGCCCACTTGCCACTGTTTTGACTTATTTGCCCGAGAAGCACGCGCCACGCTCCGATTATTCACTGGAAAATATTTTCATTTGCAGCTGGCTGTCTGGAGCGTCTATGTATATGTATGCATGGCCATTCCATAATGGTTTAGAGCTTAGCTCAACATATTTGCTGGCAAATTTGCAAAACATGTCCAGGACTTAGTCTGCGGACTTAGCTCTGTCCAACACCGTCTTCTGGCTCGCCCAGCCCAGTCGCTGTTGACCCGCAGCGTCTTGTTACCGCTCGCATTAGCAGCGGCAAGTTGTCTAAACTGTCCACCCAAGGCTGAGGCAACTTTTAATCTAATACTCGTATCTTCTTTAAAGTTTTTGCCAACCGACGTACAAAGTTCCTAAATCCAGCCATGGTTTTACGCTTCACATGTCACAAACACACGCATTTACACACACACACACACACACACACATACAGACACACACGCACACGCACACATACAATGACAGATGGTGGAGCAGCACACTGCCCGCTGAACATGCTCAAGAAGTTTGTAAAACATAACCACGCCCCGTTGGCCAATGCCGCTTAACGCTTCATCTGGCAGCAGCGACGCCAACGGCGACGGCGACGCCAACGCAGACAGCAACTATTTACCAACCATAGATGTTTTTTTTTTTTTCTCTTATTGCCAAGCAAAGATCTGGTCGTATATCTCAGCTAAAAACGCCTTTGGACTCGCATATAAATTTAAATGCGAATTTACAGGCTGTGCCTGTACCTGTTACCGTTAGCCCACACAGGTAGCACGAGTGCCCTTGGAAATGCTTATAGAAGATTAATATGTATGAGAAGTAAAAGAGCATTTTCTTATAGCTGAAACTCTAATAGAGATAAGGTTTAGATTTATCTTAAATGGATAAATAAATATTGACACATTTTTCTTTTTTTTTCGACTCAAGGATAATTAAAGTTAAATTTGATATGTGAAAGGTTTCTTTTGAGTCCGAACGGAATACAAATTGAATTATCTGCAAATGCAATTTACTAGCAAGTTGAGGACATACACACAGATATCTGATAACGAATTTAACTTGAGAATTTAATTTTGAGGAATTTTCTGGTTTGGTTCTTAAAACTTCAATTTGAGGACTTTAATAATATATCAAGGTAATATATCAGTATAGCAAGATGCTATTATTCATTTGATTTTGCTTTTGCAGTTTTAAGCTATAGGAAAAACTCAAAGCTCTTTACAATCTATGTCTTTTAAATACATTTTTTTTTTTTTACTTTATTTATATTTAAAGAAAAGGTATATAAATAATAATATAGTCTTGTTGGCTATAATCCATAGCAATATATATTAATATAAGCTCATAAAATAATGAATAAATTTATACATTTAAATTTTTAGCATATTAATTAATTAATACACATATTAAAATTATCTACCAGAGACTTTAATAAAAATATTTAAAGCACTATTTATATATAAAATTCATTGAAGAAATTGCATAGATTTTATGCACTTGGCTTAAAGAGCGGGTAGAGGCAGGCGAAACTTTTCTCCAAGTTGGCATTTGAAGAGCTGCAAGAGAAATGCGAAGACCAAAAGGGAGCAAGTGCGAAAAATCGTAGAGAAATTGTTGAAAAACTTGGCAGAGCATACAGTTGGCGTCTTGTTTCGTAACTAATGTGTTTGTTCAAGAGCTGAGTGGTGGCCAGGATATGTCGTCGAGCAAATTAGCTGCTCAATTATGGCATTATGTCAATGCAATTGCTGCTGCTGCTGCTGATGCTGCAGACTGGGATCCACTGTGGTGGGGTGAGGTCAGTACTTACTTATGACAGTTAAATTCACTTTGGAGTTGCGTGTGGGGCTCTTCTGGAAGTCGACGCGACAGCGATACTCGCCCGTATCCTCCTCAGCCGTTGACTTGATGGTCAGCGTGCCGGCACGTCCTTCCACGTGAAAGGAGAGTCGCTCCCGATACGTTTCATCCGACCAGTGCGTGCCCTGCGCAAAGTTCGAGTCGCGTGTGTCCACGCTGCAAGGAAATTCAAAAGAAAAACAAGTTCCAAATATATCAGAGCGAGTGTAAAAAATAAAGTAAAAATGAAATAAAGCAAACAAAGAGCAGCATTGAAATTTCCGCTCTAGCCGGAAAGAGCAACAAACTTTAAAGCTGCCTCACCTAGCTGCAAACTTTTGTGAACTGTGTAATTGGGTTCTGCAATGAATTAATAATCTCACTTAATGTACACCAATCCCCCCCACTGCCAGAGCCCCTGCCACCACAGCCGTCAGCTGTAATTTATTGTTTTAGTTTGTAATTGTAGATTATTGATTAATTCCTGTATTTTTTTTTTTTCTCTTCCTCCGCTTTCTGCGGTTGCGGCTGGAGTAGGGGCGCTAAAAAAGTTGCTATATTGAGCTCATTTCTGCGGGCAGTCAATATACTTAAAGTTTTCCTCTTTTTTTTTTTTGCTCTCTCTCATTTTCATTTCCAGCTGCCGTGTCAAATATTGGGCCACTGACTTTCCCAAAGTTGAATAACAGATTTCCTATCGAAGTCTACTTCTGTTTGTTGTTTGCCCTGCCTGATGCCGAATCGAACTTTGGCTCAGCACGTGGCTGACGTAAGCATAGGGGCATTTTATATGTATTATATAAATTTAAGAAACAAATTTGTCTCCGTTTTTCATAATCAAGTGGAAAGAGATTTTATTCTATTTAAAAGACATTTCGTGACATAAAAAATAAAAAATACTAATATCAATAGTTCTGTAACATATATATTTTATATATATTCATGATCAACTGTATATTAATATATATTTTATATATATTTTATGTTGAATATTAAAATTTGTATGCAAATTGTTGTCTATTTATTTGATTATTTTTTGTTGATATTAATTTAATGCTCAGCAAGTTAATGAGCACAACTAAATGTTAATTTAGTCTTGCAGAAGTTTCACTTTTATTTGGGTCTCATTTTTATATGAAATTTTAAGATCTATTTTTTACAAAAAATTGGCAATAAAGTTGACATTTAAACATTTTTTTTATTTTATTATTATTAATTTTTTTTTGTTATTGACGAAAGCCAGATGAGAGAAAGAATGAAGATAGAAAGAAAGAAAAATGTATATGAAATATGACAATGAACTATGGATGAGTGTAAGGAGTATGTAGAATGAAAGGTGTACAAGTTGTGCTGTTTTAGGCCTCTATATGGAAGGAGGAGGAGTATCAAATGTAAGTGAAAGGGCTAGCGAGTGCGCTCTCTTTAGTTAAAGATGCTTTAATATCAGTTTACGGAACTTGAAATAGTTGCAAAAATATGCAATATGCACATTATACTTATTTTCCACAAACGTGTATATAACATGAATTTTTAATATATTAATTAGTAACAAAATTTAAATTATAGCTGATTAAGCTATTTAAAAAAATTAATAATTTTTAGCAATCACTTTTTGTAAATTTGTAAAATTAAAAATATATATTTGTTGAAATATAGAGCACAGTATGATTTCATTTTAAGTAGGATAAACAAGACCCCAGACTCCAATGTGGGACGAATATAGGGCGAATGGTTTTCATAATATTTAATAAAAACGAATAAAAGCTAAAAACATGTAAACTATGGTAAATTAATAATTGCTTTATTTTATATTACAAATTTATATAAATATCACTTAAAAAAACTGAACTCAACTTTGTTTTTAAGCTTTAGTTGCCAGTTTAAAATTGAAAGTTAATTGAAGTAGAAGTTTAAACAGTTTTTCAGCATATTCTGTTCTCACATAAATCAATAAATTGATAAAAAATGCATTAATGACAGAAAAAGTGTTGAGAGTAGAATAGAATACAGGAGTGCTACAAAATTATGATCGTAAAAGTTATATTCCTGCACAATAATAAGTGAGGAATCTACTGACAGAAATGAAGCTGTTCTCTAATAAAAAATGAGTGCTCTGCTGTAGCTTTCTGCTTTTAGTGGATGGAATTATGTATGCCTGGGCAACTTGAAAAAATATTCTGATTATTAAACCAGCTGCAATCTATGCATTGATTGACAGCCTGTCAGCGTTTGTCTGTATTTTATTGCATGGCAGTTGTGATTCGCAGACATGTGGTGCAGTGTAGCCGGGCATAATGAGGCAAGGAGCAGAAAGCAAAGGCGGCAGCATGCCGCATGCCGCATGCCGCATATCGTATGCAGCTCGTATGTCAGTTGATTGTAAAATAAAATAGTGCTACGAGCTGAAGTCGAGCTGTGGAATATTGAAATGGCAGCGGCTAGCCTGGGCAGTCGTTGTGCCATGAAGGTAGGAAGGAGTAAATTAAATTTTTTCGACTGAGAGTCCGGCACAACAAAAAGAAGAAGAAGAAGAAGCAGCAAGAATTGGCAATTGGATTGGCAATGGCAATGGCAAATGGCAAGTTTCGTTTTATGATTAATTTACTTGCTGAGTGGTTTTTAATTACAAACAAGAGTTGAAGCGTGGCCTGCAAGTTGGCTCGCCTTGACTGTCGTTACGCAACGCTAATTACTATTTTCGCTCTAGTCATTTGCAAGTCCTTGAAGTGCTGAAGTTCAATTAGTTTCAGCCGCATGTCAATGCCGCGTAGACTGCCTTGCCAGCGAGCCAGTCAGTCAGTCAAGCAGTCAGGCAGCTAGGCAGCCGCCTCAACTAGCAATCAGCTAATCAGCGTCTCTGTTCGTGTCTCGACACACATACACACACACACACATACATGGGCATACGCACACATTCACACATACGTCCGAACGTCTAACAAATCCAATTAAAGTTTGGCTCCTTTGATGTATGCAGACGTATCTATAAGATACAAGAGGCAAAAGTCTCTTTGCCATCAACTAAGTACAATGCCATAATGTTCGACATGAATAATTGAAAAAGTTTTTCTCTGCTGTAAATGTAACCTTGAGGCTTAGACTCCGCCTGGCCCGCCTGTCCCGCCTGGCCCGTCTGCTCCTCCTTGGCGCAGCCCGAAAAACTTTACTCAATTTAGAGGCGCGTCTGAGTCGGTCCGCCTGGCCGCCTGTGTATAATTTTCTAGTTATGCTAATTTAATGGCTGCAGTTGAGCAGCCCCCAAAACATGCAAAAAATTGCTTAATTAGCAGGCATTAAATCAAAATGAAAAAGTGCCACTCTCCCCCAGAGCCATACTCCACATTCACTCAGTCACCTACATCAGCAAAGAAACACCAAACTGACATGTGCAGATTCCCCAGTTTGTCTCTCTGTCTGTCTATCTGTCTCTCTGTCTGACTGTCTGTGGCTGAGTGGGTTGAGCGCGCTCGGCACGCAAAAGTTGCCTGTGGTAATCAATTTTGCTTATTTATGGACCTCCATATGTAGCTATGCGCGTGTCTATCTGTCTGTGTGTGTGTGTGTGTGCTCTACAAAATATTTGTGGCCTAAACCCAGCTTGCTATGAAGTTTCTGCGTTTGACACAGCTGCCTGAAGGTTGGAAAAATTTGGTCGATTGATATTTGATAAGGGCAAACTCTCAATACAGCTCATTGTCAGAGCCACAAAATGTAGCCATTGAGCTAGTTATCATTGAATGTGGAGAGATAGGGTACAACTGGCTAAGGATTCGCTGAGAAGTTGTAGTTATTTTTACTTTTTGGTAATCGATAATTATCGATTATGCAAAGTAAAATAAATAATATATAGATTCTAGCCACTGAGAAGATATTCTTAGATTTTAGAAAATAGTACGGAAATTAATTATTTATACTCATCTAGTCTGATTAAATACGAAAAAAATATTATAATCTTCGAATTTTTATCCGTTCAATTGAATAATTATACAAAAAAAAAAAAATCTTAATTATTTTCAAAATATATCTAAAACTTAAATCTAAGTTTATGCAAATTAATAATATATCGATTCCAGCAGCTTTAAACACAGAGGAAATGTTCTTAAATTAAATAAATAATATGAAAAATAGTAAATATTATTAAAATGTAATTTATATATCTTTAAACTCAAAAAAAAAAAAAAAAAAAAATAATAATAATAATAATAATAATAAAAAAATTTTAAGCTCGGAACTTTTATCAGTTCCATTAATAATTACTTTAAAATTATATTTTAATTACTTTAGAAATATTTTTAAAGCCCAAGTGGATGAAGAATTTCATGTACTTTAATCCACTTTAAATTTTTAAGGATTTACTTTTGCTTGAACTCACCTATAGATGGGCGTTTTGAGTCCGACCTTATACCAAATGACCAGAGCCACACGATCCTCGTAAATGGGCGGGGTCACATTGCAGGGCAGTCGTCCCATTGTGCCAATTATGGATTCGGAGAGCACGGGCGGACCTGAAAGCAGCACAACAATAGGGAGAAGCATGATGAGCTGTGACAACAACAAAATGGATAACAAACAAAAAAGAAAGAATAAAAGAGGAAGAATGGAAAAAACGCGAAAAACAACGGCGAACAGTCTTACAAATGATGCATAATTAGCGTGGGGCATTAGCACTTTGTTATTGGGGCAGGCCAAAGCCGAAGTCGAGGCCAGAGCCGGAACTGGAGCGAACTAGACGAAGCTGGAGCCGTAGCCAAAGCCAAAGCCAAAGCTAAAGATGCCGGAAAATGGCAAGTGGCAAGTGGAAAGTGGAAAGGCAAAGAAAAATGCGGCGATCTTTTACTTAGTGCCACTAATAATGCTATAAATAAAAGACAAAAAGGCACGCAGGCAGTGTGGGCTGTGCCTAGGACCAGAACCAGAACCAGAACCAGGACCAGAGCCGAGGCCAGAGGCTGAGATAAAAGTGATGTAATGGCGGCGACGTCATCTTCATCGCAGTCGCCGCGTTTACATTAAAGTGAAATTAGCGCGCAAATCCTTTTTTTATGCTAATTTTTTTTCTGCGCTTAGTTTCAATTTCTTCCCTTGTCTTTTTTTTTTCTCCTTTTTTCCGTTTTTTTCTTCACGCTTTTAGATGTGTGCCCCGGCGCCAGTTTTTGAGTTATGTTTTCTGGGGTTGGCTTATTTTCCGACTCTTTGGTCTTAACAATTTCCTTACACTTGGCATTTCTGGCTGTGTTATTTTTGGGCTCGCTCTTAAATTTCGCTTGCCATTTCATTAATGCATTTGCCTTTTGTCTGCGGGCGGCGCTTGAGGCGAGAGGGGCTAATTTCAACTAGATGTGAATATAAATATCAATTAAAAGAATATTTCGTCGACTCTTCTTCTCGTTTAAGCCAGGCTAAGCTCTCTGTGTGGGCTAATACCAATTGAATTTCAAGTGTTTACAAATTGTTGGCGAGCTGCTTGAATTTTGTGTGTTTAATATCATATTTTCAGGGTTTTGATGAATCTATTATTAAAGGCGAAGGAACGAAAAAATCATTTTATGTTAATTATAAATTATGCAATTATACGGCCAGCGTTTTGTTGTTTTTTTTTAATATTTTTTATTTTGAATTAACTTTTCTAACATTAGGCATAATTTTGTTTTCTGTGCCGCAGCCAAAAAGTTCTTTTGGTAGCCCTTTTTTCTGGCCAGATCTATGTCTCCCTCTCTCGCTCTCTCCTTCTCTCTGTCTCTGTCTCTGCTTGTCCCTCGTCACTTTTTGTATCTTATTTAAATCACTTGTAAACTAATTTGCATTTCTTAGGCTCGGCAATTTCGTCTTGTTGGCCGGGCAAACAAAGTTATTAAAATTTGTAAAGTATTTTCGCTCGCATTTGGCAGCCGTCGTTGATTTTGTAATTAAGCTAGGCGCAAAGGTTTGCCAGTGTCGGACATTCCAATTTGCTTGAATTTCACTCTACTCGGGCTTTAACTTGAGTAAAAATACTCGCATCACTCATACGCCGCGTTGACACTGTGTTTGCTTTGTTTAATTGAAGCGCTGAGCGCTGACGAAATAAATCCGGCGCTTATTTATGATGAGCCTAATCGATTATTATGAAAGCTAACAACTTTGCATGCTAACCAAGCAGAGTCAGATGCGACTTATCTCTCCGTCACACACACATAGAGATTGCGGCTGCCATCTAAACCGGAAATCGTTTCGCTTGCCTTTTTGATTCGGCTCGTGCCAGACTGCCGCCATGTTACGATTTCTCGCTCATTTCATATGCAAATATGTTCGATTTGCCATTAGGCATTGCTGGCATCACAGACGACCGCAATAATGATGCCCACACACACACACACACATACATAGATACGAGCAGCAGCACTGAGAGTGCCTGACGCAATTTACATTATCTTTGCATTCGACTAAACGAAATGGCAACATTAGCAAAGCATTTAATTATAGCAATTAGCTAATTAGAGATTTTCACTCAGCCTAAACGCAATTCGAACGTAAATTGACCAGCTCCGAAAAACAACAACGAAACTGTGCCGAAAATCAATCGTTAAATGCGGCTAGTGTATTCTGAAATTTCTGCTGAGTCGCCAGCGAATCATTTGTATTGTCTGTGTCTGTGTATCGATGTGGAATTGATTTTCGGCTTGTGCCATTTAAATAATGCAAAATATGAGCTGCACTCGATTTAAGAGATGAACTCGTACAGCCAAACTTGTGGCTCGTAAATTTTAAACAGCAGGCAGGAGGCAGGAGGCAAGCAAACAGGAAGCAGGAGGCAGGAGGTAGGAGGCAGGAGGCGTTGGTGTCTGCAACTCGGACCTCGAAACGATACTCGTACGAGTAATAAGCAAGCGGAGTAAACTTTATGCACACAACGCGCTGGATAGAGAGAGAGAGGGAGAGATAAAGAGAGAGAGAAGGAGAGAGAGAAGGGGAGAGAGAGAGAGAGAAAGAGATAGATAGGGAGAGAGAGATTTCCTTAACACCCCAACATTTTATTGTGCATGTATGCTCATGTAGACTATGGTGTAAGCGTAGTGTTATTATGCGCTGTGTATTTATGAAACTTTATGAGGCTCGAGTACGCAGCTCGAAATGAAGCAGTATGAATGAAAAAATGGCAAATGTAAATATTTAAGAATTCAACTGGAAAAATATTACAAAAGAAAGGGTTTTTCTTTTCAGAAATCAGAAATCAGTTATGTTTCATTGATTTTTGCTCTATTATTGCTTAGAATTAATAGAATAATTGAATATTCATTTTAGATTCTGCATGAATACATTCGAAAAACAAAATGGTCATACGAACAGATGCTAATGCAGCTATCCAGGCAGCTCGAGAAATCCCTCGGCTTTAAATTGTGGCTCTTGATAATAGAATTTTGTATCAATTAATTCTAATTTATTTGATCAATATATGAAATGGCTAAAAAAAACAAATTATTAATAAACAAATAATTTTTAAAAAATATTTGAATCAATTTAAAAAAAAAATAGATAAATAAATAAAATAAAAAATGAATAAAAATAAAAAAAATATACATATAAATAATAATAAATTAAATAAATAAAATAAAACAGAAATAAAAAGAAAATAAAAAATAAACAATCAAATACACGTATTTTTTATTTAAGTGCCTAATTAATAAAAATGACTTAAATATGTATATATATTCACTCAGCTATACTTGAAGCAGAGCTTCTGGTCTCGGAATGTTTTCTCTGTTCAGGTATCAAAACGTTAAATCGAACGAGCACCTCGAGCTTCTAATTCAAAGTGAATATTTATAGCCATAAGCAAGGCGAACATGATAAGAGTGAGCCAACATGTATGAGCATGAATGCAACTCCAAAACTCTATTTAACCGGTCTCAAACCAAATGTGTATGGCAACGACACTCAGACGTATAGACAGACAAATCAATTTCACTCTTTACCTAAATAATTCAACAGCTCAATTCCTTTTCTCCATGGGTATCAATTACCAAAAATTAATTACCAGAAATTCTCCTACGGATATATATAAATCGAATTTCACATGCACAGCTATGCATTTAAGCATTAAATTCACTTGAATTTTCTATGCATATTATATTATTTTAAGCCGTGCTAAGCAGAGCCATTGCTAAAGTCTGGCTAAAACCAAATGCTATAAACGTTCAAGATTCGGCTGCTTGTGGCTAATTATTGCATGCCCGCAAAAGTAGGCCATTCAGCTGAAGTATATATCTCTATATATGTATTTATATATGTATATCTTTTTCGGAGACCTATAAAAATGCAATCAACGTTAATTGCAGAGCGCCGCAGCAGAAGCAGCAGCAGCGGCAGGAGCAGCAGAGGCAGCGGCAGGAGCAAAGCGGCCATTAAAAGTGTCACCGTTGCTGCTATAAATAGCAAAGTTTGCGCTTGTCAACATTAGCCCTACAGACATAGCCACAGCTACAGCAACGTCAGGCCAAGAACAAACAGAATGCAGAGTAGGCTCATTAGTTTACACACACAAACACACACACACACACTCGCACACACAGAAGCCAAAAATGCATTAAAACTGTACACGTGTATATGCAAGTGCGTGTGTGTGTGTGTGTGTGTGTTTATGTGAAACTTGTCTACGGTGGCAAATTAATGGCACATAAAATTATAACTGAACGCACTTGAAACCGACTGCGTCAAGGGGCAACCAAAGGTGGCGCCACAGCTACAGCCAATGCCACATTCGATGGCATTCACAGCTGCCAAGCATAGTCATAAAATACTAACGGCAATCGCTAATAGTGTGCGTGCGCGTGTGTGCGTGTGCGTGCGTGTGTTTGTGTGGCTTCAACTGGCATAAGTGGCACTCGGCTCTGTAGCTTACATTAATTAAAAGCAATGCCTCCTGCAGCAGCAGCCGTCACAACTTGGCCTCCTGCTCTGCTGCGCAGCAATTGGCGTTGTTTTGACTTTTAGCGCATTTATAGCCAATTATTTTTATTGGCACGCCAGGGCAGGCGAAAGCTAAATGGCAAAAAGGCAAAGAAAAGCGGAAAGGAAAAAAGGTGTGCAAATAAATGAGCTCTAGTATTGGTGCATGTGATGTATATTGGAATTGCAGAGCTTCAGGGCAAAAGTTGTTGCTGTTGTTGTTTTTGTTGTTGTTTTTGGTGCTGTTGATAATAGCAATTAAATGTCAATTAATAAAAGCATTTGAAAATTTATTGCTTGGTGATTAAAACACGCTTCTATGTAAATAAACATAATTAAAAGTTAAATTACATTCGACTAGAAATATTTGGCCTAAATAATAAACAATTTTATTATTTATTTTGCAAGTCTTCTACGTTCATAAATACAACTGCTAATGCTGCCCTCGGGCAGCGCCGACTTTGTCACAGTTTGGCTCGAGTTGAGTCAATGAATAAATGAATATCAATTAATAAAACTATTTAAAGTAATTTCATTAAAATTTCAATTATAAGCTGAGATAATGCTGTTGAACTGGACT